GCTGGGCTCAGAGTTCAGTTAGAATCTCTTTTGTATTTTGCATTCTATTTCTGTTTTAAGTATAAATAGAAAACATAATTGAATTCAGTCATTCATGAGCTTTTTATAAACTCAAGAGGATCAATATGACAGGAGCCCAGAGAAGCAGTTTCTGTGGTTTTTCAGTGGAGGACAGTATTGTACATCCTGCCATCATCACAGATGCTTTTTCATCAGTTCTGTGAAGAATGCAGTATTATTGTCAAGTGCGGGGACATTACCAAATGTTGTTTTAGCGTGCCATTAGTTTTGAAGGCTTTATATAAATTTCACTTAGGAGCCTCATTTTGGGAAAGTCTTCTAGGCAGAAATTATTTTTCAGGAGGCTCTAGAATAAATTTAAAGGGACTAAAGGTAGAGTGCATGCTTAGCATGCATGAGGTCCTGGGTTCAATTCCAGTACCTTCATATATGTGTGTATATATATATGTATAAAACCTAATTACCTCCCCCACCAAAAATTATAATTAAAATGTAAAAAAAATTTTAAAGGGACTGTTAGTGTTCCTTACTTCCACTACTGAGTTACCTAAAAACCTCAAATAGTTCCCCCCTTTCTCTTCAAGATGAATGATGATTCTTCGAACAATTACATTCTTAAGTGAACATTTGGAGTTTTATGATTCCTGTAAATATCAAGTGTTAGTAATATTTTTAATAATAGACGAAAGCAAAGAATTGTATATACCACACCCCCAAAACTCCCCTCCTTTTTTGGCGAATTTTCTCCTTATTTCTCACCTGTCTTCAGAAATCAGTGGAAAAAGAAAGACGTGACACACAGTGAAATATCACTGAGGCCAAGACAGTCTTCCTGTCCACCTGACACTACTGTATTTTATAAGAGGAAGCGAACGTTACTTACTGTATCTCACGGCTGAAATAAGAGACTCCCATGAAATCCTTTTCCTTTCACCAACAAGGTTTGCATGGAGAGAGTGGAGTAGAATGTCATTTTGTAGCTCGACCACTTGGCAACTGGTGTGTTATCATCTGGTCCCCTATTAACTGCTACTGAATACTCTTAACCAGTTTAAGTTGGTTTCAATAAATATCTGTGTCTGCCTCATGGGATTGAGATGTGCTTGTTTTTGTCAATGTAAGAAAAAAATTCCCTCTTTGTTCGCTACCCGGTGATTCCCATGTGCCCCTGAACATGTCTGGGGTGACGGAGCGGCTCTCCTGGGCCTCCTGAGTCAAGGTCATGCCGCTGCAGGCCGGGAATGTCCAACGGTGCTCCTTTCAGGTGTTAGGACAGTTCTAGTGAGGATGACATTGTATCCATCATCTGCCTTTTTATTTTTTGCAGACATTTTTCTTTCTAAATTTAAAAGCAAACAACAACAACAAAAAAATGAGGAGCAGCAGAATTTCTGTTGTAATTGAATTTCATGGGGTTTGTTGCTGAACAAAATACTTTTACAATAACACCAGAGATGAGAATGAGACTAGAAGGGCCATTTATTTGGGGAGAATATTAAATACAAAACTGTCATCACAGAGACTCAGATGAGCTGAGGAGGTTACTAACTTTGATTTCATTTTTCTTCCTTTACAACCTCCTTACAACAAAGGAAAGAAAGCCATGTGGTTAAAATCTGTGAATTTCTCTTTCCTGTATGCCTCTGTTGTTAGAAATAACACTTCATTTCAAGATCTCCAGTGCTTTCCCCAGTATCCTTTTTGCTTTGTTTTTGGATTATCGCTGGATTTTTTTTAATTTATTTTTTTCAATTGAGATGTAATTGACATACAACATTACATTAGTTTCAGATGTACAACATGATTTGATACTTGTACACATTGTGAAATGATCACCACGGTAAGTCTGGTTAACATCCATCTTCACACGGAGTTACAATTTTTTTTTCCGTGTGGTGACAACTTCTAAGATCCGCTGTGTTAACCCCTTTCCAATACACAATGCAACACAGGTAACTGCAGTCACCATGCTGTGTATTACACCCATGGGACTTATTTTATAACTGAAAGTTTGTGCCTTTTGTCCCCTTTCACCCATTTTTCCCACCTCCTGCCCCTTGCCCCTGGCAACCACCAGTCTGTTCTCTGCATCTATGAATACAGGGTTTTGTGTGTGTGTGTGTGTTTTGGGTTTTGTTTAAGATTCTCTGTCTGACTTACATCACTTAACATAATGCCCTCAGAATCCATCCATGTGCGGCAGATGTGTTACTGGATATTTTTAAGTGCTTCTTAAGGGAGAAAAACCCCCACTGAAGCGACTTAATTCTTCAGAAGGAGCAGGGGCGTCAGTGGTCCAGGCGGCCCCTGGTGGAAGCCGCAGGAAAAGTTACCCAGCTTTGCTCCCTGCTCACACTTTTCTACCCACAGTGCTCACTTCAGCTGGGAGGCTGGGGCCACTTTTTTTTTCTTTAAAGCAGTGTACACTTTCCCCGAGATGGACCAGCATGAAGTCCACCATCGGAGTGTCAGCTGTAATAGACAGATGGGCATTTTCTTGGCGTGATGGAACGAGACCTTGCGCCCGGCTGCCGACGCGCATTGCTGAGCTGAACACGGCACGTGGTCTTCGTTTCAGGATGTCTCCTGATGTCCAGTTTCGTGTTTTCCGTTCTGAGCTGCTAATCATAAGCCTTTGTCCCCCGTCCCAACTTCCGAAGGCTGACCTGGCCCTCCGGGCGGTAACGTGTGCCGTTTCGTCCTAGTGTGCGTCCAGCCCCGGGACACTGGGGAGCTGCTTTGAGAGCCGCGTGGTTGTCGTGTGTGAGAAGATGATGAGCAGGGCCTGCTGGGCAAAGTCCAAGCATCTGATCCACTCCAAGACTTTCCGTGGAATGACCCTCCTCCACCTGGCCGCAGCCCAGGGTTACGCCACCCTCATCCAGACCCTCATCAAATGGCGGTAAGGCTGCGGCACATGCAGGTGGCTGGTGGGCTCCCTCACACCCCAACAGGGACCCCCCGCGAGCCTGTCCACTAGTGCAGAGAAAGCTGGCCATTCCGGGAGTGTGGTGGCCTGAAAGCAGAGGGCTTTCTCGGAGGATGGGTCTAAGGAGTTCCGTGAACTTCTGCTCAAGAAGTGCTGAGTGAGATGCTCACCTAATGTTGGACTTTCTGTTTCCTCCGGACTCCTGGCAGAACGGAGAATCCAGTCCACCCTGTGAGATCTGGGCCTCCATTTCTTCACATCAGGGATGTTAGATGCCCAGTGTGGTTTCATCTTTGTGGGTTTTATAATGTTCTGGTGTTTTGTTTTATTTTTTTTAACATTGATTAATTGTGCAGTAATTTCTGGTGCTGTCCCTTCTAGCACAAAGCATGCAGATAGCATTGACTTGGAACTGGAGGTCGACCCCTTGAATGTGGACCACTTCTCCTGCACTCCGCTGGTAAGAAATGGGTTCACGTATCCCTCGTACTGGTTTTCGAGGTTGGCCTCAGGGTCTGCCTGCTTCCCTTTGTATTATCCCTCCTTGATGTACGACATTTACCCGAGCGACCTTGTAACAGTAATGTTTTATAGCCCCATTGAGATCGCTGTCAAGGACTAATTTGTCCACTGGCAGCAATGGCAAAAGTGAAAAACAAAAACAAAAACAAAAACAAAAACAAAATATATATATATAAAAACACAATAATATTGAGAAAGCTTGCTTTGTCTCTCTGTCTCTTAGATGTGGGCATGCGCTCTGGGACACTTAGAAGCCGCTGTCGTGCTGTACAAGTGGGACCGTCGGGCCATCTCGATTCCTGACTCTCTAGGAAGGCTGCCTTTGGGAATTGCCAGGTCACGGGGTCACGTGAAATTAGCAGAGTGTCTGGAGCATCTGCAGAGGGATGAGCAGGCTCAGCTTGGACAGAACCCCAGAATCCACTGTCCTCCGAGCGAAGAGCCTGGTACAGAGAGCTGGATGACCCAGTGGCACAGCGAAGCCATCAGCTCCCCAGAAATACCCAAAGGAGTCACTGTTATCGCAAGTACCAACCCAGGTAAAAATCCAAAGTTACTACGTCTCGGAGCTTGGCAGATTTCCCATTTGCTTTCGTGCAGCTGTCCTCAGAAAAGTCCGTAGGATGTTCACATATGTTTAAGGGTTTGGTTTTTTTTTTTTTAATGTTTCTTATTTTCCTTTTAGCTGTTAGAATGCCTAGTGCTTCCCCCACCCCCATCCCGCCCCCAAAACTGCAGGAAGTAGTGAAAAATATATATCTGTGTTCGTGCAAGAGAGAACTGCAAATTTTGGAGGAGGATAATCTGAATACAATATATGCTGCCGGGGAATATTTAAATGTTAGGGACGCGTCTTGAGTTCTGGCTTTGCACTTCGTGTCTCTCAGGCATAGAGCAAGTGTTAATTCTTTAGGGTTCCTAATCTTACCGCCTTTCCTGACTCTCCTTTCTACTGTACTTTTCAGAGCTGAGAAGACCTCGGTCTGAACCCTCTAATTACTACAGCAGTGAGAGCCACAAAGATTATCCAGCTCCCAAAAAGCATAAATTGAACCCTGAGCACTTCCAGGCAAGGCAGGAGAAGCTGCTTTCCACTGCACTGAGTCTGGAACAGCCAAATATCAGGAAGCAGAGCCCTAGTTCTAAGCAGTGTGTCCCCGAGACAATCAGCCCCAGTGAAGGCGTGAGGGGCTACAGCCCGGACACCTCCCCTCCCGCTCCAGAGACTGCAGGATTCCAAGCCTCTGGATCTCAGCCTGTAGTAAAGTGGAATTCCAAAGATCTTTACATTGGTGTGTCTACAGTACAGGTGACGGGAAACCCGAAGGGGACCAGTATAGGAAAGGAGACAGCACTTTCACAGGTGCGTCCACGGGAGCCAATGAGTGTCCTGATGATGGCTAACAGAGAGGTGGTGAATACAGAGCTGGGGTCCTTCCGGGACAGTGCAGAAAGTGAGGAGTGCTCGCAATCCATGGATGACATACAGGTAAGCTCGGAGGAGGTAAGCCCGCAGAGGCTGCTACGTCCGCCGCAGCTCCCTGGATCTTTCCCATCAATTTCCAGAGGCCAAGCAATTCTCTCACCAGCGGAGGGTTAGAAGTCTGGACTAGGGGACTGCGGGGAGAGCTCAGTGGTAGAGCGTGTGCTTAGCACGCATGAGGTCATGGGTTCGATCCCCAGCACCTCCGTTAAAATAATGATAATAATAAATAAGTAAACCTAATTATCTCCCCCCACAAGGAAAGAAAATATTTAAAAGAAAAGAAGTCTGGGCTGATGTATAAGGGTGTCAGGCTGTCCTCTTTCCTTGGGCCACGTTTGCATTCATAGGTCCGGCACTGGCGACAGGCCTGAGCCCCAGGGACCCAGGTCTCAGCAGAGCCTTCTGTCCTGCACCAGCTCCTCAGAACCGCGAGGGAGACTGCTCCTTCCTCCTTGCATCCAGGGGGGCTGAGCGCGCCGTTCGCAGTACTGGCAATGATAGAGTCACAGGCGGGTAACAGTGAAAACGGGAGGCCTGCGGGTAGACTTCATACGATCTAAGTGATTTGATCAGCGCAACTGTCACCAGGTCATTGTAAAGGGTGTGAGGCTCTCATGAGGTGCAGTGAGATATTCCTAAAGGTGATACGTGACTGCTCTTAAATCTAGAAAATTCAGGATCGTTTTAGTGCAGTGAACTTGTTATAGATCAGGAGAATGCGTACTGAAGTAAACGAGGTTAGGCTATTAAACCAGCACATTCCATTAGTTACAGCAGACTCTACGGGAAGGACCAGGTGAGCATCCTCAGAACACGTGTTTGACTGCCTCTCTCTCCACCTTCCCACTGATAGAACCCAAAACAAATACAAAAGGATAAAACTCCCGCAAGCAGTTGAGTAGGCCTGTAGAAAGGATGGAGCTCTCGTGTCCCGGACGGCTTTCCTAGGGAGTGGTCTGATTGCAAAAGCACTCCTGTCCGTTGCGCTCCAGGGTACCCTTCCTAGCAGCCCCCTCGCCTCCTAGGGCAGCGTGAGAACCATGCCTGCTTACCAGTGTGCTTCCCGCCTTGTGGGCAGTGGGGGATTCCACCACTGATCTACCGACCTCTGCAGTTGTGGGGAGGCCTGCCCAGGAAATCGAATAATACTTGAGATGAGAGGTTGGCAAATTTTTTCTGTAAAGGGCCAAATAGTAAGTATTTTAGGCTTTGGGGGCATCATCGTGACTGTTCAGTCCGCCTTTCAAGCACAAAAGCAGCCTTAGACAGTATTAAACGGACGGGTGCCAGTAACACTTGATTTACACAAGCAGGTTACTGGCTGGATTTGGCCCTCCATAGTTTGTGAAACCCTGTTTTAAGCAATTTCTGATGGAACCCATACTAGATACGAATACTAAGCCATCTGGAATAATATTTATAAGTATAAACGTATAATAATAAAGCACTAGACTATGAAAATCAGCTCAAAAGAGGGGAACCAAGTTGAGCATCTAGAATAGTGCTGTCCACTAGAACATCCTGCAGTGATGGAAATGTTGTGTGTCTGCGCTGCCCAGCATGGTAGCTGGTGGCCACATGTGGTGCTGAGCACTGGAAATGTATCTGGTGTCACTCAGGAACTGAATTTCTAATTTTATTTAAGTTTAAATAACCATTGGGTAGCACAGCTTTAGAACAGCTGGCCCTTACTCGGAGCTGATGCAGGAAATAGAAAATAACCTGAAAAAAAAATCTACTTTATATTTTCACTGAGCCTTTGGAAAATAAATATTTTGCTAAATTAAGAGCACACACATATGAAAAAAGCAGCAGTCTAAAGAAATATTTTAGCCAAATGAGAAAATAACAGTTAAAATTAATGAAAGAGTTCAGGAAATGGAAAGGCGGAGTTCATGGAGGAATGAACAGTCACACCGGTAATACTGGTATCTCTGTGGAGTTATTGATAGTGTGGTTACATGTTAAGCAGTTCTTTAAACAGAAGAGGAATAATGTTTCAAAAATAACGTAGAACTAAGAGTCTTAATTGTTTTAACAAACTCAGGAAGGTAGTGGATTGAAGGTAAAGGTGTACTAAAGCAGTACTTCTGTTCAGGGAAAATCAGTTTGTTCCAATCATGGTATTGATGGATAGGTAGAGGTGAAATATGCTTGTTAGAAATATCAGTAGGTAGCATAAAAACAGACTACAGAATTTCTAAGTCCTTTGAAGGGGAAAGAGAAAACTTGGCCCATGTGGGAAGAGTTCAGGAATGGTAACAGAGGAAAAAGCAACAGCAGAAATAATATGCAGTGACATAACATTATAGAAATATTTTCAAACACGACTCACGCGCACGTCGGTAACTGGTAATTCTATTGAAAGATTCTCAGATTGGGTAGCAAAGGAAGCAAAATACACCATTTACTGCTTGTAAAAGGCAAAATTAAAATGAAATGAGAAGGAAGTCATGGGTAAGGGTAGATTGGACAAATGAATATAAAAAGAAAAGAGATAAAAAGTACAGTTCAAAGCAAATTGTGTGTGTGTGTGTGTGTAAAATTTATCAAGAAGACATGATTGTAATGAACCACTGTGCACCTAACAACATAGCTTCTAAATAGTATAGCAAGTAAATACAAAGAAATGTGGAACCATAACCATAATCATAGTGTGAGAGTAACAACAGCTATCTAAGAATCTGTCAGCTCAAGTGGATATGAAAAGGATATGGGCAAACTGACAGTACAGTTAGAAAGTTTGACTTAGTATATGCATTTAATATACGCTATACTTGTATATAACTATGCAGATGTATGAATACTCATAGGAAACATCCATGTCCGTATTCTTTTTAGATATCCAAGCACATTTATGAAAACTGCCCATATACTAGGACTCAAAGAGAATCTGAATAAAAACCCAGCATCATTTAAATAAAAAACCAAGGGGGTGGTGTGGGTCAGTGTAGCTCAGCGGCCGAGCGTGTGCTTAGCATGCACGAGGTCCTGGGTTCCATCCCCAGAACCTCCATGAAGTAAATGAATAAATATCCAAAAGTCATTTTAATTTCATTGCTTTCTGTAGCTATCACAGTAAAAAATTGTGATTTTTCCCCCTAAATGTTTTCATTTTCATTCCTATTACAATAATAATTCTTGTTCTTTGTTGAAAATTTAGAAAATTACCCAAGATAGGGGTTTTTAACAGTTTTATTGAGGTGTAATTTACATACATCAATTCACTCATTTTAAGTGTTCAGTGCAATGAACTTTTGTTAATTTATCCAGCTGTGCCATCATCACAGTCCAATTTAGAACACTTCCGTCGCTCCTCAAAAGTTCCCTGTGCCCGTTTCCACTCAGTCTCTGTTCCCATCCCAGCCCTAGGCAACCAGTAACTGATCTGATTTCTCTCCCCCAGAGTTTTGCTTTTTCTAGAAATTTTATATAAATGGAATCATAAACTGTCATATTCTCTGTCTGGCTTCTTTCACTTAGCATAATGTTTTTGAGGTTCATGTTTATTGTAAGATAAGCATTTTGTCATTTTTGAATAGATTCTTTCAGAACATTTTCAATTCACTTAAAAACATAAATAGCTGTATTTCAACTTCTATTTTCAAGAGACGTGGAAGAAAAATTTTAAGAACAGGATCATACCTCTGATTCTGATAAAATGTATCTACCCTAGACTAGTTTTGAGGATTCCTAAATGTATCCACTAGGAGTGTACTTTGGGTGCAAGTATCCTCAATCTAGCGACAGTGGTTTAATGAGAACATGATTCATTTTTCTTGTAGAAGTCCAAAAGGCCAGTTGCTCAGTAATGCCATCAGGGACCCAGATTTTTCCTGCATTTTCTATTCCTTTGGCTTTCCTCTTTGTGTTGGTTGCTTTATGGTCGTAATGTGGTTTCTTGAGCTTGTCTGTAGTCAAAGCAGGAACAAGAGGAGAAAGGGCCAGGTGCATTGATACCTTTCATCAGGAAAGCAAAAGCCTTGCCCCAGGCCCTCCCAGCAGACTTCTGTATAGTCTCATTGTCCAGAAGTGGGTCACAGATCCTCCGCTCAGTACACGGGAAGGTGAGACACCAAGAAGAGGATTATGACAGTTGGCTTCTATCAGTCATGGGCTGCCCCAGGGGTTCGGCTCATTGCTGCTCTCTACAAAACTGGGGTTCTCTAGGCAAGGCAAAATGGGGTGGGGGTAACCAGCAGTGTCACTGCATTAGTAAGACACCATACAGTGGAACTGCCCAGTCCTTGTATCATTAATTGGTTGATCCTAGCTGAGAGTGGAAAGTAGGCACAAACCAGACATTATCAAAGACTTAAGGTTTGGGACTGAACTATGGCTTGGAGATAATCAGGCCTGGGATCTTCGCATCTTCAGGTGATGGTGTAAAACCTTATGATACTGTAGTGCGCGGGATTGAGGTGTCAGCCCACCCTCTCTACTTTCTTTCTTTCTAAGGTTGGTGGTAGGGGAGGGGGTGTGGAAGTGACAACTTTCCAAGGTTCCGTTCTAACCTGAGTGTTCTGGGAACTCCGGGTTCCAGGTGAACATGATGACCTTGGCAGAACACATCATTGAAGCCACCCCTGACCGAATCAAGCAGGAGAATTTTGTGCCCATGGAGTCCCCAGCTTTGGAAAGGACAGATGCTGCCACCATCAGCAGCACAATGAGCTGGCTGGCCGGTTACCTAGCTGACGTAGACCACCTGCCAAATGCTGCCCAGATCAGGTCAGTGAAGTCTGTGGGCCACCACCCAGGGTAAGTCCCTGGATTTCCCTGGAGGCACGGGAGGCTCATTGGATCTGAGGAGTTCTGTGCAATGGAAGACCTTATCCTGGAAGGAAGGAAGCATTAGGACGAGTTCCACAGCCAACCTCCAGGTCCTCCTGTGTCCTCACCTCTCTGTGATTTTTCTCCCCATATCAGAGCATGTGAGATAACCTATCAGAATGTCTTCCCTCAGATTCAATTGAAGGGAGGATAGTGTACTTCATGGGTTTAGAATGTCAACTGGAATAAAATGCATGACCTAAAAGTCAAGAGCGATGTTTTATTCAGCGGATTTCCTTGGGACTCGAGCCTGGGACGCAGCATCTCAGATCACTCTAAGAGGCTGTCCCAAAGTGGCGAGGTAGAAGCCAGGATATGTGAATTTTTGCAACAAAGACCAGATAGTGGGAACATCAAAAGAGTATTATTAATTTAAGAAAACCAGATATCTCAAGTTAAGGAATTTAGCTCTTTTCTAGGTATGAGAAAGTACACAGCTCTGGGCTCACTGAGTCATTGCTTTGATGTGCACCTAGCTAGCATCCTGTTCCTTCCCATCTGAGTTCCCTCAGGGAGCATAGCGAGGGGTGGCTCCAGGGGCCAGGCTGCCTGCTTGTCTGCATCCTGAGTTCCCTCTGCTCACTGTCTGGGTGGGGGGGGGTGGCCGTAGCAACTGACGACTCGATGGCCACAGCATCCTTTGTTTACTGACATGGCTGGCAGTGTTTTTCATCCACAAGCACTAGCGTAGTACTGTGCTCAGTATGAAGTTCCAAACCAGAGGACCTAGGGAGGCTGCTTAGCACCTCACCTGACTGAGTGAAGGCATATTCTTCACGGTCCACAGTGGCTTCTGGTGGATACCGCCGTGTGTCATTGATCAGTGTGTGGTGGATCATGCGAATCGATCACCAGTCTCTCTCCCTGTGTCTCCTCTTGTTTCAGAAGTGCATATAACGAGCCTCTCACCCCTTCTTCTAATACCAGCTTGAGCCCTGTAGGCTCACCAGTCAGTGAAATAGCTTTCGAGAAACCCAGCCTTCCCTCTGCAGCAGACTGGTCTGAATTCCTGAGCGCGTCCACCAGTGAGAAGGTAGAGAATGAATTTGCTCAGCTCACCCTGTCCGATCACGAACAGAGAGAGCTCTATGAAGCTGCCAGACTTGTTCAGACAGCTTTCCGGAAATACAAGGTACAGTCGAACAGAGCCCTGAGGTCGTGACGCGCGTACGATCCGGGAAAAGCCGGAGTCATTCTGGCTAAAGACGTGCACCATTTCTTTCTTTTTTTTTTTTCCTCTGAGTTGATAGCATTTTTATTTGAAATGATTAATTGTGTCACATGAAATGATTAAGAACTGTCAGAAGCTTTAGTGAAATAAAACAAGCAGTGCACTGGTCATCACCATCGGAACTTACTGTTGGTGATAATGATGGGTATTTATTGTTTAGTTAACATGAAGTAGCTGCAAGGGATTGGGGACCTGGAGCAAGGGTTTCTAGCTGGAGGCCTGGGGACTGACTGTAGGCAGCCCATGGACTCCCAAAATTTTATAGTAAAACGTCTGTATGTGTGTCTTTGGTGGGAGAGGCTCCATGGCCTTGCACACTTTCTCCGAGGAGTCTTGACCTCCCTGAAGAGTGTTAAAAGCTGTTAATCATTGATCCGAAAGTAGAGGACTTGGGGTTTCCCAAGAAAGACAGTGGAGAGTGGCAACTTATAGGGACAAATAGTACCATACCTAATTCTTTAAATTCTTTGAAAATGAAGGTCTTTTTAGGTCTCCTAACATCCAAATGTGATGGTTCTGTGTAGAAGCAAGAATAGTCAGAGACTGATTTCGTAGATTCACTTTTCTTGTTTATGCTGATATTAGCTATCACTGTGTTTTGATAGACGTCAGGGCTCAGTTCTGAGAAAGTTAATGAAACGAGTAATGGTTTCCTTTAAGTCCTGGGAAAGCGACCTTTCTTACACTGGATTGCTTTTCCTTTCCTTTCCTCACTTTCCCATCAAGGGCCGACCCTTGCGGGAACAGCAGGAAGTGGCTGCGGCCGTCATTCAGCGTTGCTACAGGAAATATAAACAGGTGAGCCAGGCTCTGGGTCGCCATGGGAACGCGCCTCATTCACTCAGCGTCCAGGCAGGCCCCGCTGCCGAGAACTCCCGGGTGGGGTTTGGGCAAAGAGCACAGCACCCCACACCTGATTCAAAGACTGACTTGGAGTCGCCTTGATTAAAACCGGAGGGAAGTGTTCCAGAGCAGGAGGGAAGCAAAACAAAACAAAACAATGCCATCTGCAACTAAACATACGCCACAAAATAATGCTTGTGCACAACCTTGGCCTCTGTGTGGCATCCCCAGCCTCTCGGTCTGGCACAGAGGAACTTACTCGTGTTTGGAGTGAGGATCGATGTGTCAGCAGTTTCACCTGCAAACTCAATAGCAATGAAAGAACGTCTAGGTGGTTGGTTGCGGTGATCGGAGAGACTGATGCGGTGACAGGGCCGGCTGGCGTCTTTGCCCTCGAGGTACATAAGTCACACAGTCGGCAGCCAGTTTTCCTTTCAGCTTCTTCTCCAATTTAAAATGAAGAATTGTGAAAATCTTCGAAACTCTAGAGCAGCCCAGAGCATCTTAAAGCGTTTTGCTCTCCTTAGTTAAGAGCTTCAAGCCGGGGGGGGGGGGTACCTGAGAACTCCTCCACGCGGTGCTACTGCTTCCCAGACGACCGGAGGGTCGCGTGGCTTCCATCAGGCAGGACGGGGAACTGTTGGGGAGCACCTGGCATGTCCTGCATCTTCTAGGCACACCATCTCATTCCTCCTTAGCAGATACTTGAAGTGAACAGTTCCAGTTCCATTTTACAGATGAAGAAGCTGAGGCTCAGAGAGAGTCAGTAAACACCAGACCTTTTCTGACCACCCCGGTGGTGTGTTTGGCAAATGTTAAAAATTGTGGATCTGAGTTTTGACTGATTGTACGATCCTATGATAACCTGTCAGTAGATTCTTGAACCTTTTATTAGATGGTACTTTCAGTAGGTCTTAAATTTTTACTAAAGGAATAATAAATGCTGAGATGTATAATAGCCACTTAGAAATTCAGGGTTCTGCCCTGTTCTGAGCTAGGGCTCGCTTTGATTTCTGATACGGGTTGCCATTTTCTCAAGTTTCTCTAGGATTAAGCCCTACTGATGAGGGTGGTGGGGGTTGGGAGGGTGGCTTCAGCTTGTAGCCAGTTGAGTTCATGATCCCAGAAAATGAAGGTTTACTGTGTAAACGCTGACACCATGGTCCCTGTAGCCCCACGGCAGGGAACCGTCCCGGGCTCTGTTTGGAGAGCAGGCTTCTTGTTAGCACAGCAATGTTCAGAATCAAAGTTTCAAGTCTGTGGTTATAACAGGTATTTATTCCAAAATGTGAGTTTGATTTTTTGGGGGTTTTTTTAAACCCCCTCCCAAAGAAGTGTCTACAACCAGGAAGATGGAAGGCTTTTTTTTTTTTTTAAATACTGACAAATATAAGATAAATATTTTGGAAGATGGAAGGCATGAAGATAGCCAGGTTGCCTTTTTTTTTCCTTTTGGTTTTTGGTTTTTTTGGCTGGGAGTTTTATTGGTTCTGGTTCTGGCTTTTCGTTTCATTATATTCAGCAATCTAACATTAATCTTGTATTTTCTGTTTCTCCCCCAAGCTGACATGGATAGCCTTGAAGGTAATGGTGCACCCAAGTCCTCTCACAAACCATTCCACCAGAGTCACAAACTTCACACCCATCGCCAGCTGCAAGAAGGGGCCATTAAGATGGCACAGTCATTCAGTAGGCATACCCCCTCGCCAGGCCACCTAACCACAGCACATCTCTCCTCTGGGGACCGTGTGGTTATGCCGTTGGAGTGGGTTTTGGCAGTAACAGTCATTGGACATTTTCTTGGCCAGGGTCAACCTAAACAACCCATCCAGGACAATTACCGTGAACCTGGGAGCCACTAAATGAATTTACCTTTTTCCCAATATGCTTCACTGTGGCCCAGTGGGTTCTGAATGTACAGAGGGCACAGACCGATGTAGTAATAACCACAGAAGCACTGTAGGATGCAGCATGCTTGTCTCAGAAGACTTTGGGACAGATGAAAACGTTATGCGGGGCAGATAAGATTAAAGAGGATTCTTGCAAATGTCCCCGTGTCTTGAACCTTCCGAGAAGTCAGTTCCCTTCCCTCACTCTGCTTTGTAGAAGCAGAGGGATACTTAGGTCCAGGGCTCTAAGGAATACTTGTCCCCGTGATGGTAAGTTCCCTTCTTGTAAGCCAAGTGCTTCATTGTGACATCTTGTCCCCAGAGTCATATTCTATTTCATGAGCAATCTGGACCTAGCATTTTTAAAAATCTGGAGAGCGCTGCATTTTTTGTGCCTGGAGACTGATAGGGAAGAGAACGCATCCTGCCCGACCCCCCATGCCCTGCGCCTCATACCTCACCCCCCAGCTCTGCGGTGGGCTGGGCGGGGGTGCCGTTCCTGCCTGCCAGCGGTCCCGGCTCTGCGACCGCTTCCCAAGTTTCATGGCTTCCCCCTTGTGTCGATCTGATGAGTGTTAATCTTCTGCAGGTTAAAGTGGCTTAAAGGTGTCAGCGTTTCACGATAAGCCTTGTATTTGGGACCTTGCAACTCAGAAATGTGTCACGTGGAAGGAAAGTTAGAAATCAGATGCTGACTGCAGAGTAGACATGTTTGGCAGGGACTGGGAGGCGTGGAAAAGGTTGATTCAGAATGTTTCCAAATTGGATAGGAAATATGAATCTTAAACATTTAAAATCTTACTTCCTAAGCACTTTTTTTTAGTCTTAGTGCCTCCCTTGATGGGTTTTAAAATCTTTTCTTCAAGAAGGGCAAAAGAGTTTGATTGTTTTTTGATGGGGAGGGGAAATCACATTGAAAGCAATGCTTTGTCTGAAGGGGACCCGTAAAGTAATCTTTTGCATTCTGGAAAGGTAGGTGAACAGATGCTGAGAAAATGACATAAAGGGAAAAAGCGGTTGGCCTCCTTCCCCTCCCGGCCCGTAGGCTCAGGGCTCGCGCCGGCCGCGGGGCTCCATCGTTACTGCCTTGCCTCTTCCTGTCTCCCCTGCAGTATGCACTTTATAAAAAGATGACACAGGCTGCCATCCTTATCCAGAGCAAATTCCGAAGTTACTATGAACAAAAGAAGTTTCAGCAGAGCCGGCGGGCTGCTGTGCTGATCCAGAAGTACTACCGGAGTTATAAGAAGTGCGGCAAGAGACGGCAGGCGCGCCGGACGGCTGTCATCGTCCAGCAGAAACTCAGGTGGGTTGGGACGCTGTGGCGGTCCCGAGAGCCCCAGCTTCGCTGAGAAAGCTGCCCTGTGCCGGCAGGGGGTCTGCACAGGGACTGGAGCACTTGGGAGCTACCGTCTTCCCAGACCGCTCTAGACGCCGGGCTTCGTGTGGTCGCACCTGCGCTCGCTGCCGGCCTTTGTCTCCTTGGCTCCCGCCTGTCCCCCCCCAACCCCCACGCAATTATTTGGCTGTCACCACCCAGTTTCAGCTTGTATCAGAATTTGGCAGGACCACAGTTTCTGCTAAAAAATGTGGCACTCTCATGGAGTCGTTGAAATCGCAACACACAAGACCCCGAAAGAGGAAGCAGAAACCAGCCGGCTCCATTCTGGGGAGTGTCATAAAAACTTTTCACACGGTAAAACGCACTGACAAAAGACGTGTAGCAAACAACAGCCCAGACTGAGCAGCAGACCTAGGCGAATCGACTTCAAAACTGAGAAAGCCTGTCTAGTGCCAGAGTGCCTTTTTCAGCAAAATGAGCTTGGTGGCAGCCGGGGGAGGGCGTGGCTCAGTGGCAGAGTGCACGCCTAGCATGCAGGAGGCCCTGGGCTCGACCCGCAGTCCCTCCATTAAATAGAAAAGTAAATAAACAAGTGAACCTAATTACCCTCAAGATTAAAATAAATACGTGATAAAAAAGAAAGCACCTCTGCATCAAATTTTCTTAAAAAGGAAAAAATTAATTTAAGAAATAAATTCTTAAAAAAAAAAAGACATGGAAGAACAGTTCCGGGACGTGTTATTTTCGATCTTTATGTTGTCGCCCTTCAGGCGAGGTGAAACTGCTTATGTGCCCTGTTCTTCCCTGTCCCCCCGCGACGCCCGGACTCAGTACCATGAGACGCATACGCTTTTGCCTTTGGGTTTGCCGGCTGAACTGTTGAGCTGAAAGTCCTCTGTCACCGCAGAGCTGCTTTCAGCTTGTGCACATTAAGCTTCACAGCGCCCTTCTTGTGACGATAATTCATATTCCTGCTTTTCCAGGAGCAGTTTGCTAACCAAAAAGCAGGACCAGGCTGCTCGAAAAATAATGAGGTTTCTACGCCGCTGTCGCCACAGGTACATTAACCCTCTCTCTACACTTTACTCATCCAGAGGAAGAAAACCACCCTCGTCTCCTTAACCTCTCCTGAGTTCCTAGGTGAAGCTAACACCCCCCGAATAATCAGGGTAAGCGTCCCCAGGGACACTAGCCTCACAGAACTCTTTAACTAGGGACTGTGACAGTCCTGGTGTCTGTCCCAGACTACACTGTACATGTGTTGAATCATGGGGACTCAGGCCAGTGAATTTGTTTTAATTCGGGTGCAAAGACAGTTTAGTTGGACTAGCTCTTAATCCCAGATTTCTCTTTAACCTGTTATTGACATGCCACATTGCAATATATTCCTCGCTCTGCACCGTCACTGTGCTACTGTGTGTCCAAACAGAAGAGAAACAAGTTACTATTCCAAAGGAAAGGACAGAAAACCGCTCAGCCCGCCCAAGTTTTCCACTAAGTAGCTGACGCCCTCTGCTGGCCACGCGCTAGCCAGCACACCCCGTCAGAGCACCCGTTGCTGCTGGTATGAGGCCAGCCGTGAGGACCAGGAGAGAGAATCGGGTCGAAACCGTGCAGGGAAGGAAGGGCCTCTGCGATTGTAGGGGCATTGGCAGCCAGAAGTGGGCTCCGGTGACCCCCGCATCTTCCCTGGAGCTAATCCAGAGGAGTTTCTCTTTGTTACCTCAATGTTTGAGATGTCTTTGTGAAGACGAGGTCCTCTACTTAGATTTGGGGGGCTGGTGAGCAGCATTTGGTTTTTTTTACTTGGGTTAATATTCCAGCCTGACCTTTGTGACAGTGGCCATCTGAGCTGTGTTTAGGTGACTTTCCATGTGGCTTTGTTGTGCAGCAGGAGATGTGCAGTTCACAGAGCCGAACTTAAAAGCAAGCTCTCTAACGTCTTATGTTTAATTGTGCCCAATTGAAGCCCGAGGGTCCAGATGCAGTTGGATTCCTCGGAGGTTTCACTTTAGTTTTTCTTCTTCCTCAAATTGCCTGCTTGCTAACTTTGAAAGTGTTTTGACTTCATAGGCTTTAGCTGGCTACTTGTGTGTACTTTTACTTAAATTAACAAAATAATTCATTTACATGACAGTGGAAGAGAACGTGGAGAGAGCCACTCGGGCACAGAGATAAAAGCTTTGAAAGGAATCTTCTGTATATACGGTGTTCTCTGGCTAAAATGTACCCCTTACCGTATTTCTCAGAAACTCATCTGCTCTCCACCACGCAGGGATCAGAGCTCTCCCCTGGATTAGTTAACCAACAAGGTTCCAACACCAACACTCTGAAATAGGAAGTCTCGTTAGGAAATGCACACCAAAATGCCGGGCATGGCTGTGACCTAATGAAATTGAGCCTCTTACCAAAGTCAGTCTCTATTCTTATGCGGTCACACCTCTGACTTAGCATTAGGGGACCTGCGACCCAAGAGAGTAGCTGATTTTTCCCCATTTTGACCAAAAGGTCCGGGACTTACCTGGGCCCTTTTCCGCACGTCCTCACATGGGCTCACACCCCTTCCCCCTTTTCCTCTTCCACCTGCAAAATGTAAACCCCAGGAGGACCCTGCCCAGCACGGCTGAGCTGTGGTTAACACTTACCAACAGATTTATTCTCAAGGAAATTGCCTTAACGCTGCTGTTCTTGGGCCACTTCGAACAAACCAGAATGTTCACAAGTCAAGTCTTCCTTGGTTCTTCTGGTCTTATTCTCAAACTCCGAGCACACGTATAGATCCTGATGCCTTGGGGATTATGAGCAAACCTGTATCAGTCCCTATGCTCGTTTCCTTTGGGGGGAGGCGGTGAGGCCAAAGCCCTACCCTGCTGACACTGGATTAATTGAGAGGGTGAGGTATTTCAACAAAAAATAGATGCATAGAAGGCTGCTCCCCCAGGAAGCTGAACAAAGGAGTCATCTCACTCGTGCTTTTAGAGTTGTCCCGTCGTAAACTGGTGCAGAAGAATTTCATGAAGACCGTGCCTTCCTTAGGTCTACATTTTCACAAGCATTAACCTCAGAAGGCTAACCAGGAGGTTCGCTAGGAAGAGAGCGTCAGATGATGGAGTCTGAAGTTCTGCTCGTTACTTGGGATTAAACAACGACCCCTATTGGCTTTTTTCTGTATTTGCCCTTTTATGTTCCAGATGTTAGAAAACCATGCAGGCAGACTTTAATAACCTTTGTCTGCCAACTGCGTGAGATCCCTGTTCGCTTCCGCTCCTGTATATTCAGTTAAGAAACTTGAAGAAGGCCTGACAGTCTATCCTGGAAGTGTGAACTCATTTCCCCTAGGATGAGGGTAAACCTGTTGCCATCCTGGGTTGTTGAATATCCTTTTAAGGGAAACTGTCATTTGTATGCTCTCAGAAGCAGAGAGAAAAATAGAAAACCTCATAGGACACCCTCTCAGAAAAGGTAGGTAGGTAGTGGCTTCAGGAATCAATACAAAGGGTCCCATTTCTTAAGGATTTTGCTGAGTCATGTGACCCCAGCTTAAAAATAAGCTGGTGAGTTTTCTACCTGCTCATTTCACATCCCTACCACCACCCTCCCTTTCTTTGCAAAGAAAAGAAAAGAAACCACTTGATCTTTTTTCTTTTTGGTTGAAATAAAGCTATTTATAAGATTTCTGTTGTGACCCTCACATGCTAATAGCTCTTTGGTGTTGTTTTACTGTCTAAAGCCCCCTGGTGGACCATAGGCTGTACAAAAGGGTGAGTTTAGCTGCCTGCTAGCCAGTTTATCTTTATCTTCCGTTTTCAATATTTTGCTTTTTGCTTGCTTGCATGGGGCTGCAGTCTAGGTATGCCAGTAAGTTTCACATCCATTTTGAATGAAATGAGAGAAGATAAAAACTAACCCGAATTACTAACACTGCTACTTTATAAGAGAGGTGAAAACAGTCACATTCAACAGCCGACCTGTTAGTGCATGAGAAAGTGAAAGGGAGGCCCTTTGACACCGCCACAGGGCATGCTTAGAACTTGGTGGGAGACGCCTTCGGCGTTAAAAAAAAAAATGCTGGTGGTGCAAGTTTAAATCTAAACGAGGCTGCACTAAAACAAAACACGAAGCAAGGGGTTATTTGCAATGGAAATAATTTGCCACCCGAAAGTCTCTCAACGGTTGCTGTGTCAAAACTTCTAAAGCAAGAAGGCTCACTGGGTGATGCTGACTTTTTTTTTAATTAACATATCTCTTGCTTAGAATTACGTGGTTTCATTTTCTAAATCTCCCTTCCCCCCAGTGCTTTGAGGTAAGTCAGTACCCAGAGCTGCCCTTTCAGAACCAGCCCAGGACATTCATTTTCAAATAGTGGGCAAGCCTGATCTCGAAGCATTGAATGACAGCGCCAGATAAGGAAAGTGTGGTGCAGAGTGTCTTAAGTCTGTATATGCTATTTCGCAGTTAAGAGTGGATGTTCCCAGTAGTTTGTATTTTAAAGAAATGGTAATGAATGGGTGTTCCATGGACACTGTTACTGTTTGTGAGATTTTAGAATATGATGCTGATTTGTAACTATGCAGACACGATGATCACATGTCTTAAGTTATGAAATTTATAATATATAATAAAGGATTTAATATATACTAAAAGATGTAATATGTAGTACAGGATTGGATATATAATAAAATATTTAATATATAGTAAAGGATTTAGTAGCAGAAAGCTGTTTGTTTTTTTTTTTTTAAGCCAGGAATAGAATTCACCAAAATCAGACTTGAATTTAGATGAACTGGACAACTTCTGTCTTATAGGTAGCCTTAAGGGAAGCTGCGTTCACGATACAGCGTGGCAGCAGCCTGTGTCAGTGCGCCCACCAACCTCCGTCCCTAACCTTACACTCACACTGGATCCAGCCATTTGCAGGATTGCTGGGGAAGGACCATACTTGAAAAAATCTAGAACTTCTAATGTCCCTGGCGGTGTTATCTCCCATCCTAACTACGTTTGTGTTGATGTTAATATTTATTCACTCTATTTCAAGCCAAGGGTCCACAAACGTTTTCTTAAAAGGCCAGATCGTAAGTGTCTTAGACTTTGTGGGCCATGCGGTCTCTGTTGCAATTTCTCCTGTATCTACGGGGGATACATTCCGAGACCCCCAGTGGGTGCTTGAAACTGTGGATTGTAACGAACCCTATATATACGTATATACCAGATTTTCTCCTATATAGACAGGCAGGTAGCACGCACAGCATGGATGCTGCGCTGGGCAAAGATGAAACCTCCGGGGCAGGGCAAAGTGGGACAGGGTGAGATTTCATCATGCTACTCAGAATAGCGCACTGTGTAAAACTTATGAATTGTTTATTTCTGGAATTTTTCAGTTAATATTTTCAGACCTCAGTTCATTGTGGGTAGCCGAAATCCTGGAAAGCAAAACCACGGATAAGAGGGGACCACCGTACTTAGTTCTGCCATCCTAGCTTGAAAACAGCCAGAGGCAATCCGTGAACGAATGGTTGCGGCTGTGTTCTAATAAAACTTTATTTACACAGAAATGCATCATGCTGGGTTTGGTCCATGGGCTGTAGTTTGTCAACCTAGTGTGACAGGAGAATTGAGTTTTTCTAAGTTCTTCCTAAATCAAGACCTTATCCCTCTAAAGATTTAAAGTCTCACCGATTTAAAACTGAGTAGTCACTGAAGGACAGATTTGCTTAAAAAAATAATAATGCAGCTACACTCCTTTGTAAATTTAACTAGTTAGACCTCTCTAGAATTAGGCAGTTGTTTACAACTGAAATATTTCAGGTCCCATGTGGTAGAGCTGGCTCAGAGATGTCTGCTTTTGAAATGCAAGAGAAAAAGAGAACTATAAATAGAAAAAGAGGAAAGTGGGACTCCCTATTCCCTCTCACTCTCTGCATACGTAGATTTTTTTTTCCATTAAAACCAGAAGCCTCTGAGAGAACAGATGCATGCCTCAGTATTCAGTTTAATCTTAAGTTGTAGTGTCTTGGCATGTTATATGCAATTTATATAGTCTGCTGCAAGGAACCAACGTTTTAGTAAAAGTGGTTGCTTATGCACTTGTCAAGCTTGTCAGTTTCTGGTATGTTAATGATCATTTCCAGGAGTACATTTTCTAAAAGTGCTTTTCAATGCCAATCAGAGTCCCTAGCTTAGTTTCTTGAGTGCCTGCTGCATTCTGCTATGAGTTCCTGAGACTTCTCATGGTTGGAATTTCATAACATCTCTTATGCCTCTCAGTCTTAGGGAGTTTGAAAGGTAGGAACTGAGCAGCTTTCAGGTTCCTTCCAGGATGATCATGTTTCTCTAACATATGAATTGAAGAATAGTTTATCTGTGTCTTGTCGAATTCCCAGGAAGATCTCTCTTCCTCTTCGTCCATCGGGGAAGTCACGGTGGCACTCCCACTAATAGTCCCCAAGTTGAAGTGACTCTTGGGAGGCAGAGCATCCTCTGAGGAGGGTTTACATCCCTGGAATTTATGTCCAAGATGATAATATACTTATTTTATTAGTGTATAAAGTGTACCATATTTAAGGTTTACACTTCCAAAGATATTTGAAAACTCAAAGAATTAAGTTTTATGGTACAGTGTGTGGAAAACACAATTTGACCCCAACTCCTAGGTTAAAGAAGCAGAGGGTTATTTAGGTAGATGGTGTCTGTCATCAGAATCAGGACACAGTAGACCAATTCCAGCAGCACAGCAATCGGAAAATAACAATTGTGTCTTCAGATTTTTAGTCTTCACTTGGGGAAAGGTTAAGAAAAGGCACCAAGTAATCTTCACTGAATCCACCTGATTTTCACTCACTCTTGCCTCCAGACTTCGCCCCTAATTTATCCAGTAACTCAAAACAGTTATCCGATTCCTAATGCTGTCCGAGGGATTTGTTTTGTCTTGGACACAATAACTGCCTATTTAAAACATTGTACACAGAGAGAGACCGTTTTTCTTAGTTACACTACTTTAGCAAGTGACTGAAGGGTTTCTAAGGTTAAAGAAACTTTTCAAGTGCACGGGCTGGACATACTACTTTCCAGTTGGATTTTGAGTATCGCGAACGGGACATTAGTTCAGTCTTACAGCAGAAAACCAAGATGCCTCAGATGGTCAGTAATTACCCAACAAATTTATCCTCAAGATATGGAGACTAATGCGTTAGACAAATTCCTTCTTTCCCTAATGATCTCAGATTTTTGCGAGAGGGCTTTATAACCTGTAACAGTCACTGCAGGTATTGTAAGCAGTGGGAATTCTGCCACGGAAATTATCTATTTCTTGTAAACTGCTGGCCTAGTTACCCCTGTTCGATAGAGGTGGGTGAAGCCATCCAACTGAGATAAAAGAGCCCTGATGGGAGGAAGAAAACACTTTTTGGTCACAGATTTTTAAACAACGAATTTTGTCTGTATTTGACAACTGGGTTTCCAAACACTTAACCTTGGTCAGATGCTGCCGGTTATCTGGGTAAGTAGCAATGACAGCGCTGATTCTTGGGAGCAGCCCTGCAAAATATTTTAGGGGGTCGCTAGCAAAGTCTGCAAGTCACAGTTAGACTTTCTGCATCGTTCTGTGTGCTTCCACCCAAGGGACAGTTCTCTAACAATGCCTGCAAGTGCCCTGTTTAACTGGGAGGAGTAACCGTGCACTGTCAGCCACCGGAACGTCACACTTCTTTAGCTGACCTGAGGTCTAGTTTCCAAGTGGCCCCGTATGCTCAGTGAGGAGTGAGAAATGAATGTGGGGTGTGTCATCGTGGATGTGATTTAAATCTCCAAAGTAACTCTGTCTTACTTGCCTCTTTTAGGAAATGAATATTTTTGGAACACAGTGGTGTGTGTTAAATTGCAGACAACATGCTCTGTGTCATTCTTATTGGGCCTCTCTGTCTTTTTTGTTTTGCAACCCAAATGAGATTTCTGGAAAATGGCAAGACCTCTCTTTTCCTAAATCCCCCCACGAGCTGTTGCAGCTCTCAGAGCAACAGGTAACTAATCAGAAAGCCGCGTCTGGCTGCCCTGTACATTTCTGACGTCCAGCATCGCGAGACTATACCTGCTGAAACCCACCGACTCATGACACATTTCTCTGGCTGAGCATTACTGAGTAGATGTAATGGAGCAGCTTTGCCTAATGCTTTTCCCATGGAGCCATTGTTCGCTACGAGTTTCGGAAGCAGGCCTCCTTCATGTATTCATAAGTTACCATGGGACGTCTGACAGAAATAAACCCCGTGGGCTTTTGCTGGCTTTCAGTGCTGTTGCTTACTACATCACTTCAGTACATTCTGATGCAACATGTTTTTGTTTTGGGTTTTGGTTCAGACTGCAGTGGTACCCCAGAGTGGTGATTGTTTTCAGCCTAGAATGCTTAGGGGGCGGAAATCCTGGGATTGTCTTTAATGTCAACAGTCGGATGGTCACAGGTCAAAGTCTTACTGTTCCAATTCCCGTAACTCCAAGCCAGTAACACAGGTGCTGGTCTCCAGGGTACTGATGCGAGGTTCAGAACGGTCCTTGCAGCGTTCCTCACGGTGGCCCTCGCCTGGTACCCACGGAAGCTCTAGTTCCTATCTTGTATTAATGGTCTTTATAATCTCAAGGAGAATGGCTACGCCTGTCTTCTGGGTGATGAAATTCAAGAGGAAGTGTAATTACCGTGGGATTTGTTTATAGATAACCTGGACATTTTTAGAGTCAGTCTTAGCCCTAAACGAGTCTGATACTTACAATTCCTTAGGAGAACCAAAACCTCACTAACCCTTAGCTGAGTATGTCTATAACGTCACAAAAGTTGATTGGACATCTGTATTCTAAGTTCCGTAGATAAGGTGAGTGACAGGTACTGAATTTTCAAGGATAATTCCGATTTCAAAAATTCTGCTCTACATTTAGCAGGTTTTCATGCTGAAAATATATGCTGACAATACAGGTAGTATCACTGAAACGAGTTCAGTCAGCTGAGTTTGGTATTGAATTTTTTTTTCCTCCACTGCCTTTTGTCAGTGTGTGTATATGTCATGTGAATACCACATTTGTGAGACACAGTAGCAGTAACAGATGAATAGAAAAACATAAACTTTTTAAAAGAATGACAAGCAGAAATGATTATTATGTAAGAAGCACATATTCGTACTAGTCCATTTTGGAAATACAAATAAGCAAGGAAAGTCACCCGGAGATCACAGCAGAATTTTGTTGTGTCTGTTTCTCAGGGCAGAGGTGTTTTTAGTTACCCTGTGCCTTGTAGTGATCGTTCATGTCTTGAGTGGCTGAGACAAGGCAGCAACAACTTTCCGTGTCTGTTTGAAGCGTTTACCTCTTAAAATTTATTAACAAAATTTCTAGTATCAGATGTCATTCTAGTTCGCATCAATGAATATAGTTAATTGTTTTCTTTCTCTTTGGAGGCAGTATAACAATCAAACATTTTATCCAGCTGACATGATTTAAAACAAAACAAAAAATTAGGCACCTCTATCTTATCCTAACACTCTGCCCTCGAGTAACACACGACTCCATGTGTGATTTTAGCAGAGCCGACGGTAAAAGTCTCTCAATTCCACCCAAACTTTGTGAGGTAAGTTAACATCAACATGGCCTGAAAATTGGAGAATGAGGCTAAACGTCTTCTGTTGCCTTGATTCTCAGACACTCTCTCTTCACACGTTTCAGATCTGTTTCAGTCCTAAAAATCATTAAGCACATTTTATGTGGAGGTATTTTTTTTCTCCAAAACATTGTAACAAAATCAACATTGGGTCTTATAAAGAATGACATCTTAGAACGGAGAAAATACAGTCGTGGTCATCAGTTTTCGACAACATACTCATCTCATGCCATGAACACTTTCCAAACGCATATTTTCTCTACAGTCTTTGCGAAAAGCCAATAAAATAAGAATTGAGTTTAAAAAAATTGTAGTTGGTGTTGTCTTGAGATGACAGGCAGCAGAGGCAGCAGAGTGTAGTGAAGTCAGACACACCTGGCTTTAAATCCCTGCTCTGCTGTTTGTTAACTCTATAACTTGGGGTAGGTTGCTCAATTCCTGTGAATCTCAGGTCCACATTTACAAACTGGAGATGATGGTGATCTTGTGAGGACTAAGTAAGGTAACACACCCTAAGTCACCTGTCTAGCTATTGAAATATGTGTTCGCTTCCTTTTTCCCCCTAATTTCTCTTTTAACAACTTTCTGTAAAAAGAAAGAAAGAAAGAAAGCCAGCCTGTGCCATTTGATTCATTCCAATATTATGTATTTATCAAAACTGTGCTATAATGTTAAGAGACTGAAAACTTCGTCATTAGACCTAAGAGCTAAATTCTTGAGCTCAGGAGTTATGAAAGGCCTAGGAAAGGTATCTGAGTATTGGAATGTCTCATTTTTCCCCGTGTAGACAGACAGTCGTGGTCATTCTGTGTGTGAACACGCATCTCTCCTAATGGTGTGTGAGGCTCTCACTAGTTTTACAGCAGAGTATTTACACGGGAACTTTAAACCTTATGAAAATTTAGTTGACTTTTTAATCAGTTCAGAAAGAAACTTCAAAAAACTGTAGGAACAAATGTGACCATTTTAACAACAACAACAACAAAAAAACCCCAGACAACTTTAAGTTATATTCACCGTGACCAGCTGATTGCAGATTCTTTGGTACAAAACCATACAAAACATTTCTGGTTCATAATTCCTGCTCCTTTTTATTTCATCCCAATGATGAACTTAATTTTTTTTTAAAGCATTCCTGTTCACTCTAGAAAAATCGTGAATGGATATCTTTGTGTTTACGGTGTCAGATTTTGAGTTCAGAGTTCCTCAGAGTCTAGCAGTCTCATCAGCAATGGAGTCTCTGTTGCACATCTGTGAATGAGGCCTGTACTAGGGCAGAAATCAAGTGCCGTACCTGACGTAGCATGCACACTTTGCAGTAATTCAGCACCTAGGTCTGCACAAGCACAGATATGTTGCATGCCCAGAGGTAAAGGTGGCATCAGTGCATGCCTTGCATTCTTCCAGCCAGAGGGCTGTTAGTATAGATATTGCATGTTTAAAAATTGAACACAGAATATAGCATGTTTCAATTTTTAAAAAGCCATTTATTTATCAAGTATGCATGTCCAAAACTAGAGATCTATAATGATGCACAATTCTGTACTGTAATATGATCCAAATTACCCCCCAATTTAATAGTCCATAGTATACTTAACTATAGAGTTTAAATAATAACCTAGATCTAGTTATGGATATAGCAATGTATTCTGAATGTACCTGATCAGAAAGAAGGATCTAATAGTTTCGAAGATAACACTGTTTGATCACGATGGGCTTGGTATGTTTAGTAAATAAATCAGACAAATGAGAACGTTTTCAAACATGACCATTCTTCTTAGTATTAATGATGATAAAATGATAAAGCTTTTTTTTTTCTGGAAGAGAGCATCTTCTCTTTGAAGAGATTGTGTCAACTTTGCAGAATACTCAGAAATGATTCTGCTCCGAGGTGGTAAATATAACTTTCTTAAATTGCTATTACAGCGTATATGCCGTTGCATTGAATGCTAGCTGAGGTGCTACGGCAATGACTTATTCCTGGTTTTTCAAAATGTTTTCTTTCTGCCTGAGTGTTATCTAGCAAGTAAACTAGCATTTTTGCTTTAAAATAAAATTTTAATTTACTGGTGTAACTTAAGATAACAGGAGAGGCCCTGCTCTCAGAGAATCAGAAAACTGTATTTGGGGATTATTGCCCTCTGTATAGGCCCTTGTTAGGAAAACAAGTCAGATTTTTTTTTTTTTTGTCATGCTCTCGAGGTAGAGTATATGCCCCCTGAGAAACTGGCACTTCTTTTGGCTAACGTCATTGTCACACAGCCACTTTTAGTAAATGAATGTTATCACATGGTATGTGGTACTTCCAAATTGTGACTTACACACCACACATGACTTCAGAAGTTAGACCCTAAAGTCGCACTTACATTTGATCATTCTGATCATTAGGCAAGCTCTGAATTACTTGTCAAGAAAGAGAAATATTCTTATAGCTTGCACCTTCTTCCCTGGTACCCCATGGTGACATTCAAAATCCAAGGCCGATTTTTACAAAAAACACAGACTGAAAGTGATCATTAACAAAGAATTTGCTGACATGAAATTTCCCTGACTCTGTAACAGTTGCATTTAAATCTCTTTACTACAACATGTTTGAGTCTGAGAACAAAGTACCTTCTTGGTATTGCACCCCGGCTCCTGTCTATCCAGGAGCACTGGGGGGATGACCTGAGCATCTTTTAAAGCCACAGTGTGGAATGGGGAGGAAAGTAAGCAATTAGGAAAGTCAAGAAGACCGCACGATACATGAGTAAAATCAGAGTTGTGCAGACTGTCTGAGCAGATTCAAGATGGCTCATCCCCATCTTGAGTCTATTAGCAAAGCAATAATTCACTCCCTAGGTGTATCAAAAGCTGAATAAATGTGTGTGCAGTTTCCCTAACTTGCATCATATGGAATTACAGGGCATTAGTGGTGGTCCACCAGGCTGAAAAAGAAAGTTACTTGAGCAGTTAACGTTTTCTAAGATGAGCATATTACTGCCACACTGGATTTCAGGCGGTCACCTTTGGTTTTGCCTCGTGTTCAGAGCTCTTGACGGAGAGCAGTTTCAGGGAGGCTTGGGTCTCTGTCTTCAAATATTTTCCCCAGCGGTTCTGCAGGATTTTCCTTTGCCATCAGTCCTCAGAAGGGCCTCTGTCTTGGTCTTTCCCTCCAGGGGGAATGGCAGTGCCCTGCCCTTTGTCTGGTGACAGTTTCACTGTAATATAGTTATCACCTGGTGTTCTGTTTTGTTTTTCTTCCAGAGTGAAAGAATTGAGAAAGGCCAAGGAACTTGAAGACATACAGCAGCACCCCTTAGCAATGTGACACTGCTTTTCAGACTGTTTTCATTTCTGTTTTTAGCAGAGACATGCAACAATAACAACACACACGCACGCACGCACATGCACACACACACACACACACACACATAATCCCTCTGCAGTTTTGGGGAGATCAGCTGCAGGATTTTAACAGGAATGTTTTGGTCATTGCATTTGCACTTTCATGGACAACTTTTAATTTGATCAACAAGACATCTTGGAACTCAATCTTCTGTTGGATCATGGGAAAACAAGACACCACGAGGATTTGAAAGAGGCTTCCTCTTCTTAGGAAGAAGCCGTCTTCCTTCTCATATAGGGCTGTATTCAAACATCGTGTGGAACTGTACAAATATTTATACCAAAAATATAGATAAGAAAAGGTGCGGATGCACTAGCGACAAAGAGAATGCTGTTCCTGCACCTGTCAGTTATTTCCAAGAAGCTGAATCTTTGGGATTGATTCTCAGTGGAGGGCTTAGACCATACAAATCTTTATTGGGTCCGTGTGTTCTCATTTCCTTCACTGTTTTTCTTTTATCTTAATGTGTTTGTTTGTTTTTGTTTCGACCTCTACAGCACACTTAATGCAACTTTTAAAATCTGCAGGTTTTTAATGCCTTGTGGAAATTTGCAGAGGGGCGGGTGCGTGGTAAACGGGTAATGCATGGGAAATGATGAGGAACGGCGTACAGAGTTTAAATTTATTTTCTTGTCCCCACCACCTCCCAAGCACCTGCGAGGATAGTAATCATCTTGTCCCTTTTCTCATGTTCAGCACTTTAATTTTTTGGCCTTACTTTCACGTGCAATGAGAATTACTTAGAGAATTGGTAAAGCATGTAGCTTTTTTTAGTAACCTTGGAAACTGTAGTCATTCTAAGGAATCATAAACCTTGCCTGGACACTTGCCACCTAAAACATCAGTGTGGTGCTGCGTTCTGGCCAGTAAATTCCATATTTTTGGCTATATCACCCAAACTGAGCAGTTTCTGTGTAAATATAGAAGGTAGAAATGGAAAGTGAGAAAATATTTGAAAGGGATTATATTAATGCTAAATATTTTATTCACAAAGGTCAATAACATGGCGAGATAAAATTATTTGTATAGTTTTGTCTGAATGAGCGAGAAAAATGTGGATGTATTGTTTGTATATATTGTATATAGTAAAACAAAGATGTGCATGATTCAAGAAAAAAGAAATGAACAAAGCAAAGCATTCGTGGCTATGGTCTGTAAAATGAAACAAAAAAAACTTTATTTCACTATAAGAGTACTTTATTTTAAATGTTCTTTAGAAGAACATTTTGCTAAAGCATGACTAAACAGCAAAAAAAAAAAAAGAGCTACTGTATTAAGACTTAGGAAAAAAAAAGGCAGAGTAACATTACTTAAAAAAAAAAGGATATGTTTACATTTAATTTTGGCTACCAGGAGTTTATTTTATTTTATTTAAAAAAATTTTTTTGCCAATGGTGCCAAGTAATGTGAATGCTGATAATTGCTTAAGAAAATTAAGTTACTTTTGCTAAGCAGATAATCATAAGGTGAATCCGTATAATAGCTTAACACCATCCACTCACGCCAACAAAGATCACTTAGAACGATCAAAACCTGACAAAAGAAATGGTATGCAAAGCAGAACCATGTCTCACGTTTTCATATCTCCTGCTGGAAATCAGAACATGTAATGAAAATTGCACAGAAAAATAACTAAAAATTATAAAGGATGCAAACTGGTCTTGTAGGGATGTCATGGTCTTACTATTTCCACATAATGAGGAGCCAAAGAAATCTGATGCTTTTAAACAATTAAAAAACTACAGATGTTAAATTGAGAGAATAAAATTTGCATTTGCTGATGCCAGTTTAAAATTCCCAGGTGATGTTTCAGGATCAGTTGGTGTAAAGCTGAGATAATTTTTTTTTTCTTTTCCCTTGGTTCTGGCTGCCAACTGTAAGTTAAAACTCAAGGCTTGTTGTGAAGCCTAAAAATACTCACAAAGCTTTTAAACTGGCGTCTTAGAAGGAAGGCAGATACAGAGAGATTGTGGTAACAACCGGGGTCGGGGCTCTTGGTGCCTTTTCTATAATCGTACTTGTTTTTTAATTACGTCCTTTCACTGCCAACCTCGAATTACTGTACAGTATATGTCTTACTGCTTGTGATCAGCTTCGACAACAATGGCAGCCCCACAACTAGTAGCCACCTGTACATTTGTAAACGGACCTGACTCAGTTTTGTTTTTAAATGTGTGGGTTTACGTTGCAGCTGTTGCCGTCCCCCAGATACCTATTACTTTACACAGTTTGACCTAGAGGAGGACACTGAGTAATTTATACACACACACTCAATTGCATTCATAAACGGGAAGAGAATGTGAAAGCCAGCTCTTTCAGAGTATCCTATATTAATGCCGAATTTAGATATTTTTGTTCCATCTCTTGTGGTACAAATAACCGATCTCTTGACAAGAGTAAATGACCTCAGTGGATTTGCTTTAACCGTCACTATTTTTTTAAATTTGTATTTTTTATGTTTCACATGCTACATTATTAGCTGAGGAAGTTAGAGAATCTGGAAGATAAAGACTGATGTAGAGGAAGGAACGTTCTTACAGAGGGAATAGGAAGTAGGTTCAAAACCTATGGGTGTAACCTACCAGTACAACTGTGAATCCTGGGGGGGGGGTACGGACGAAACATTTCTGACCGCTTTTTCTTGGTTGTGAATCTTCCTTTTGAATATAAGATGATAGGTAAGCGCAGCTTTCTTGGATAATCTGAATTCCCAAGTGCCAGGAGTAGGATTTCATTATAAAATTAATAGCTAATCTTATTCTGTCTCCTGAAGATTTAATTGCTATTCTTGTTACCCATTTGAAATCAGCTGTACTGTGTGAACGAAATAAAGACAATAATTCGAACCCCTCTCTGGCTGCACGGTCGCTTATGGCAGTTCCACACAGTAGTTGGCGCCCAATGGGGGGTCCCTGAGACTTGCATGTAAAACTAGTCTAGATGTCTTCTTTTTTGTAAGTTTTATTTTTGTAATTGTGCATGTAAAGCATCATTGAATCAATGGATCTGTTGAAGAACTCAGCTGCTGGAAACCATGCAAAATGTTTTGAATTGCCCTTAAAATATGGAAAATGTTTTCTGAATGCTTTATATTCTTTCTGCTGTAAATTAAAAATGAAGAAAATTTCCCCATACTATGTGTGTTTTGCTTTAACTTTAGCTGATATTGAAATCCAAGGTGATCAGCATGTTTCAAACCCTGTGAAATCATTTCAGATACTTCCTCCTATCCAGATACAGTGTTTTGACATCAATCGTTATATAGTTTCAGATCTGTCCAGGAAAGAAAAACATTTCATAGTAGAGCCACTGTTGGTAGAACACTTGCTTGTCAGTTACCTTCTCAGGCGCCTCTCAATCTATTAATCATCTAAATGCAGTTATTGGAAAGAGAAAGACACTGATCTAAATCTACCTTTTCGGTTGAAATCCTCTGCAATTTTTTAAAAGGTATTTTTCAGCTGGCTACTACTGGCAGCCTTCCCTTCTGAGAACTCGGGCATCAGCCTCATTCCCTTCCACTGCAGAGCCTCATCTTGTCTCCCTGGTGGGCCCTCTTCCATCTGATCCATCCCAGCACTGCTGCTAACCAAGTTTTCCGTGATAGACCTCCCAAGTCCATGAGGCCTCTGGTTTCTAGTGCCTCCTGCATTTAAACGACATTTTCCTTTCTTGTTTATCTTCACTCTTTATTCAGTTTTATTTTCACCATGCCCCAACCTGCGCCTTCTGGTTGGTCTGTGCAAACCATGTCCGTTTCTACTGTTTCTTTGTTCATGATGTTTGCACCTCCCATGCCTAGAAAGCTCTCTTTTTAGCTATTTTACTCAACTCAAATCCCATCTCCTCTGTGACACCCTCTTGTCTATTCTAACATACACTAACACTTCCCTTTTCAAATTATTCTACTTGGATCTGGAAAAGACAGTTTGGTGTTCATTTTTTTTCATTTCTCATCTAATCTGCCAGTTGACCTGCTGAAGTTCTGTGGTATTTTGTCTTTTGTTGGAGTTGCCTTTGTTGGTAGGAATACTTTCAGCATCAAATACCTCGCAGAGCAACTCACTCATTCAGATTTGTGCCTTGGCCTCAACCCAAAATCAAAAGTTGAGGACCCACTCTGTGCTAGGGCCTGGAAATACAGGAACATATAAAGTACAGTTCCAGTATGGTCTGTGCAATAACAAATATTTGGGTCACGAATACACGAAGAGAGGGACCCTAACCCCTCACTGCCTGTGACAAATATTCCAAACGAACATCCCCCCTTATTTTAGCAAGTTTCTTTACAAAATGTGGTGTCTCCAGGACCACTGGGTTAATGTGGCACGTTAACCCATGGGCTGTCTCCAATATTGTCAGAACCAGAGAAACGATCCACGGGCCCAGAATAACGTAAAACGCCCCCACCCTCATTTACCTGCACAGTCCCTTGCCAGTGCCTAACGCACCACGTCGCCCGGCGTCAGCACCGGCGGCGGTGGGGAGGCGGAGCTCACGCCCCTGACCCGCCCCAGCGCTGTCGAGTGGCCTC